CTCTCCTTCCCTTTCCTCCTTCTTTGAAGGACCTTGGTTGGACAGGAATCTCTGCAGTACAGTGTGGTAAAGCGTGGCTGCCCAGGCGTCTCGACTCATGTGAGAGTTGCCACGGTAAGGCATGTCCGTTCTCTGGTGTGTGGCCCTGCCCCACTCTTTGCTCCTGTGCGTCACAGCAAGTCGGCCTGGCACAGCCCACAGCTGAGGAACAGCCACCCAAGGATTAGGCGATTAGGGAATTTGTCAGGATTTGAGTGCGCTGCTGAGAGAGGATTAGATGGGGAGAGCTAAACTGTCATTGCCTGGGGTGTTTGCACCTGGGTGGTTTGTTGCCTCTGATATGTGCTGTGGCTGGTTGGTGGGTTCACTGCTGACAGCCAGGCTTCCAGTACAGATCCTGCCAGGAGCCCTTTCCTGTAGGGAAGGCATGGTATTTCCAGAATGCCTTGCTGAGGGATCAGGTGCTTAAAGACTGGATCATTTAAAATGTATGCACTTTGCGTAGGGAAGGGGACAGCTGGTTTCTCTAAACTTGTTCTGCCATATTTGATCCTTGATTTTTAATTTTTTTCTGAGTCTTTTTTGCCTCAGAGTTGCACTCTGTTTGGGCCATAGTTGAAAGTATTCCTTTCTGGGTTCAGGACACAATTAAAATGCTTCTGATCAAATTAAAGTCAAATTAATTTAGTGTTGCTTTGAATGATTAATACATTTTTTTACTTGTGGAAACCTTATTTGGAGGGGAACCTTGGCCCAAGTGTTGTGTGTGTGTGTGTGTGTTGTGTGTGTGTGTGTGTGTGTGTGTGTGTTGGGGACAGGAGGGTTTCTTCCAGTTCTCAGACCACTGCTCTTTTTAACCGTCTCTTCCATTTTTTTCTCTTCTTCTCTGGCCTTTGATTTGGGTGTAAGTGGCATTGAATGAACTCCCCTATTTGGTATGTTTGAATCCAGCCACTGCTGAGTGCTGCTCTGCTGATAGAAAATATTGTGGAAGTTCCTCAGCCCTCTGATGTGCTCAGTGGGAATGTGGTCACCAGGCTAAACAAGAGATTAGGAGGGACAAGGATGGTTTGGTTTGATTTTTTTCCTTCCTTCCTTCCTTCCTTCCTTCCTTCCTTCCTTCCTTTTTCTTTTCTTTTTTACTTTTTCTTTCTTTTTTCCTTTTGATAGAGCATTATAAATATGTCAGTAACCATGAATTGGCAGTGTAGACAGAATCTGTTTATGTTGCTGATGGCAGTGGGCAGGGCGATGGGCTGAGTAGAGCTGTTTGGTATGTCTGGCCGATTAGGACTGGGCTCTGGTCCTGCTTGTATGATAGTTAAATACCTGCCCTCCACAACTGCCTTTCAGGGGACTGGATGTTTATGGCTATATGGACTTGCCTATTCTGTTTCTAACCGTAAAGCCAGACCTTCCCGAGGGATGGATGACTTCTGTCTTCTGTGTTCTTGAGGCCAGGCATGTTCCTTTTGATGATAGTATCCGGGGCTTTCAGAAGGTTTGGATGGATCTCAGAAGGTCTCGGATCAAGAGGATTTGTAGAGAAGGTCCTAGGCCTGATGTCACTACTCCTAGTTTCCAGCTCCCCAGAAAGCAGAGGTGGAAGAGACTTGTGTTTTCCAAAGCCAGGCCTGAGAACAGAAGGGGAGTTGTGTTCCCTGCCCCCTGCCTTCCTCTCTGCAACTCCTAATATTTCTCTCTACAATAGACTCTGCCTACGGCATCTGCCTTTACCGGGAATAGCAGGAAATGTCTCATCTGGGTCATGGGGCCTTCCAGGAAGTCCACAGGGTATGACTGCAATCAGACTATGCTTTGGTTTCTTCTGAGCTATATGACCCTGGGCAAGTACAGTTGGCTTTCTGAGCCCTGGTGTCCTGCATAGTCAGAACTGCCTTGCAAGATTATGGCAACCAAATGAGATTAGTGCCCAGAACAATGTCACAGGCACACACCCTGCCCATTAAATGGTGCTGCTAGAAAGGACCCGACAAGTCCTTCTTTCCCACTTTTTCACAGAGTTCTGCCATCCTACCACTGTTATACAGTAATCTCACTCAGCTACCCTTGCCCTGAAGATAATTGGGCTGGCCTGAGGGTCTTGTCCTTGGCGAAAAGAGTCTAGGTCCTGTAGGATGAGGAAAATGGTTTTCCTTTGGGAGCTGGATGATGATGTTGACAGATACTACTTAGTAGATGTTCAATAAACATATTTTAATTGAGTGAATGAATATATCCTGATTCTTGCCATTAAAATGATATCACGATTACTTTGAAGTAGTTCTGCAAACACACTGATATAAATATGGCACCATGCTAATCGTTGAATCTAGGTGATGTGTATTTGAGGTGCTCCTTTTATCATCCTTTCTACTCTTCTGTATGTTTGAAATTTTCTATAATAAAACTTATTTTTAGTTTAAAATTTTCATATTATTAAACTCCTATCATTATTTTCCTTGTAAGTATATACTCAAATAACTGCCTGATATTCCGTTGTATTTAACTTTAGATATTTAATTTTTTTATTCTGTTTCTATTTAACTGGATTATTTTTCTATTTCTTTTGCTATAAATAATGTGATTAGCATTTATATATATAAATTTTGGCTGCATCTCTGATTGTTTCTCAATCATACATCTTCAAATGCAGGACTACTGGGGGAAAAGGTGGACATTTTGTTCAGACTCTTTTTGCCAAGTTGCTTTCTAGAAAGATCATATCATATTCTCTTGGGTGGGTATGAGTGTGTCTATCTCACTACATCTCACTGCCATTTTATGTTATCTTTCTTTTTAAATGTCAGTTGGGTTAGTTTTTTAAAGATAATAGCTCATTCTTAATTTGCATTCTTGGGTTCTTATTGTGGCTAGGCAATGTCTATTTGTTTAATGGTCTTTTGTCTTCTGTGAACCAACCATCTAAGGCATAGCCTCTGCCCATTTACCTGTCAGGCAGTTTTCTTCTTATATGTAAAGTGTCCTAGTTATTTGTTTTTGTTGCAAACATTCTGTATCAGATTCTTATCCATCTTTTACTGTTCTCAGTGATATATTCTGACAGAGAAAAATCTTAATTTTTATATATGTGGTAGCAGCCCTTGACTTTCTCTTGTGTTACCCCAACCTCATGCCCCCTTCCCACCAGCCAACTCTGACTGCTTGCAGGAGGTGAACCGGCACAGTGGTTAAGAATAGGGGCTCTTGTGCCAGATGCCTGGGTTCAAGTGCCAGCTAGCTCTGACCCCTACTAAATGCTATAACCTTGAGCAAATTTCTTAATCTCACTGCACCTTGGTTTCTAATCCATAAAACAGGGATGATGTGATTATCTGTCTCAGAGTGTTGTGCAGAGAAAATGAGCTAATATTTATAAAGTGCTTAGAATAGTTCCTGGTGTATAGTACTGCTACATAAGTTTTGTTTTCATTGTTACCTACTGCACTGAAACTGTGAGTCTTATCATTTGGAAAGGATTTTGTTTGCAAAGCTAATCAGTGAAAGAGAAAGCTGGATTTTTTCAGGCAGCGATGTGCCCCGTTACAAACAAATCTAGGTTTTTGTTGTGTTAACTTGAACTTCAAAATATTATCTCCAATTTATTTTTGTTAGATGTTATTAAATTTAAACAAACTAATTACATGCCTCACGTACCACAGTTTACTTGTGGCAGCTTACCCCACTCACAGTGTGGGATTTAAGTGTGTGACTGAAGAGCCCAAGAAAGTGAACAGAAAAATAAAAACTAGGAATACTGTTCCTCTTCAGTGTAGCAGATGTTTTTTGCATGCCTGCAATAGGCCAGTCACCATGGATTTCATAGAGGATAAGACATGGTCTCCAACCTGGAGCCATCTCTGCCTCGTGAGGCTTTTACCTGGACTTGGAACCTGGAACAGGAATCTTACGATGTATTCTAATGTGGCCACGGATGTCCAGTGACCTTGGTTGGGATCTGACACTCAGCTTCTCTCAACTGCTGCCTGTTTGCCAAGTCTCTTTCTCCAGCTTTTCCTGTGGATTTTGGGGAGCTCCCCCTAACCTCCATTTTTCTAACAGATCCCATCTCTGTTTATGAGAGCCAGAGTCAGTTTCTGTAGTTTGCAACCAAGAACTCAGATTCATACCTGTTACTGATTCCACTTCCACAATCTTGAGGAAATCCCTTTGTCCCAGCTAACCTTGCCAGTCCCCATCAACATCTTGTCTATTCCCAATTGGGCCCTGGACCAGGAGTGAGGGACCTGAGGTATTTTTGCCAGTGATGCCATCATTTTGCTTTTTCTCTTTGGGCAAGTGACTTACCCTCTCTGGGCCTCAATTATAAATGGAAGAATTAGCCTAGATAATCTTAAAACACTCTCTTCTCTGAAGTTCTGTGACCTTTGAGGCTTTTCACAATTTGATCCCCAGAGATAGGATGTCCTCCCTAGACCTTGCTTCTTTCCCTTCATTCAACCACACACGATCACTTCACCCCGGATCCTTGCCGTATTAAGTCCCAAACTACTTTCTTTCTTGGAGTATGGATCCTGTTTTTCTTTAGCCTGTGAGCTCTCACAGTTCAGGGAAAAGCAGCTTTTATTTTCTACTACAAGTGCCTAATTTAGATGTTGATTCTGAAGGGTCAATGACTAATAAATACTGATTTTAGATACCATTGTAAAAACTCTGAGGACCATTTTATTTCTCTGTTCTTGCCCCAGTTAACCCTTTTCTAGAAATTCTCCATGGGGATTTGGGGAGGTTGGGGCATGGCCCTGGGAGCTGGCATCTGGGGCTGGCTGGGCCTCACCCTGGCAGCCTTGCGTGTGGAGGACACAGAGCCTCTCGTTCCCAGAGAGGAGCTCCAGGCGGACCCTGACCTAATAGGTACTCACTCCCTGTAAAACCCACAACACTGGGGCCCAGACAGCATGCTGGGCCCAGTGCTGCCTGAGGGGAAACGGGGTTGTATTTTTTGTTTCATCTGACCTGGACTTCCTTCTTCTTTGCAGACAATGGGGGATGTGAAGCTGGCTTCCTCGACACACGTTTCTAAAACCTCCTTCAGTATGGATCCCTCGAGAGCTGGCTCCATGCCCCTGACCGAGGCCCCGGCTTTCATTTTGCCCCCTAGGAACCTCTGCATCAAAGAAGGAGCCACTGCCAAGTTTGAAGGGAGGGTAAGAAGCACAGCTGGACGGGAGGTTTGGGGAAGATGGGAGGAGATCGGCACTCCTTCTTGAGCCTTTTCCTCAGCAGGCTGGATCTGGTAGAGGACCTGGTTTGTTTTGGACCCACATATAAAATGAATATATACCACTTGCCCTATTTCTTTTGTTTATGGTTGATTTTGGTCTGTGTTGGAAAACTTGGGGATGGGGAGGGACAATGGAATATTTGGCTATTATTATAGGTTATGGCTGGGTACGTGCTACCGGATTATAGAAGAAGAAGATGTGGGCTGGTGGCAGGAAGCATACAGCTTGGGTTTAAATATGTGCCCTCAAATATGGACAGTTGAGAACTGACTATAATTTTCTTTCAATTCCTCCCTGGAAGGAGTGTTTAGTTAACTAACCTCCTCGTGTATCCACTTGATACACCCGGAGTGGTGGGATTAGATATAAGACCCTTTATCAGTTCTGTCACTTTTCGCTAATGAGCATTGTTCTCTTGCTCTTACAAGGGCTCCATTTCTTCTTCTACAAATGGTCATGATAATACCTTGTCCACTTTGTACTAGAAAGGTGAAGAAGATGGGAACAGTGAAGACTAGCTGTCAGAATATCTGATGTTAGGCCCAATTGGAAAGACTTTTAGTAAGCTGCTGGCTCAGACCACTAGAAAGTCAAATTGTCAAGTTGACATGGAGAGGCGTGTCATGGAAGTTGGGGGAGGGGGTGCAGGTGATATTTGTCCTGGGATTAAACATGGCGGATCTACACCAGGCAATGCTTTAGAAGCTAGAGGGCTTTGATCTGAGCAAAAGACAACTGAGGTAATGAGGAATTCGTAGGTTGCACTATGAATCTGCAGTTGACCCTTGAACATCACGAGTTTGAACTGTGCAGGTACATTTATACATGGATATTTTCAACAAATATACAATCAGCCCTCCTTATCCCTGGGTTTTGCATCTGCAGATTTAACCAACCATGGGTCAAAAATAGTATTTTTGATTCGCAGCTGAGAATCCACAGATACAGAGGGCTAAATACAATTATACACAGGTTTTCAACTGTTTGGGGGGTTGGTGCCCCTAACTCCTACATTGTTCAAGGGTCGACTGTTCAATTCAAGAGCAGGCCTCTGAAAGCTTGTAGAAGGAAGAGGTTGAACACATCGCTCTTCCCGGATGACACTGGTCCTTGCTTTTGTTTAAGTGCCAGATTTGGCTGGGTGCTCATCTGGAGAGTGTGCAGGGGCTGCTGCTTTGAAATGGCCTGGGGCTGCACTGCACTATGTGCTTGACACTCGCCTGTCTAGTTAAGACTCTTTGCTGGTAGATGCGACATATCTTTTACCTGAAGAAGATTGTGGTGATGGTGCTGAGGGATCTGTTTCTTCTCTCTGGGTTCTACCCTGATGAGGGTTCTTTTCTGTTACCCTGACTGTAGTCCCCCGTTCCCACTGCTGGCAGGAAAGAAGCAACAGGAAGAATCCCTGGGAGCTTAGAAATGGTTTAGATAGCTGTAGAAAGGACTGAAGTGCTGATACATGCTTTAACATGGATGAACGCTGAAAACATCATACTAAGTGAAAGAAGCTGGACACAAAAGGCCACATGTTGAATGATTCCATGTATGTGAAATGTCTAGAATAGACAAACATATGGAGATAGAAGGTAGATTACTAGTTGCCAGGGCCTAGGGAGGAGCAGAGAATGCTAATTGGTACAGGGTTCCTTTGGTGGAATGATGAAAATGTTCTGAAATCAGATAGTGACAATGGTTGCACAACTTTGCAAATACATTATAAAACATTGAATTTACACTTAAAATTAAAAATTAAAAATGAACTTTTAAAAAATGGCTTAGCAAAATTGATCTCATCTCCATACCCACCCTCCCTCCCTCTACCCCTGAGAGAGGACCTCCTTCCTCAATTCTGACAGACATGGGAAGGAGGAGATGAATTTGCTTCCTTACAGCATAATGATGCACTTGCTTCCTTTGCTGACTTTGGAGGTCACCAGGGAGCCATTCCTTTGAGTTATTTGATTTAGAACCTTCGCAGAATGAGTACTGGCCCAGGAGTCAGCACACTGGAGTTCTTTGTTGCTCGTCATTCTCCGGTTGTCAGGTCATACCTTCTAAGGACCTAGGTTTTCTTATTTGAGAAGAAACAACCAGTCGCTTCTATATTTCTGGCCTAAAGGGATGTGAAAAGAAAATGAGTTGAAAAATAAAATGGTAAAAGCACTTTATAAAGTTAAAAGTATAGTAATACAGTATGTTTTTAATAAAGTGAAATTCACATAACATAAATGTAAGCATCTTAAAGTAAAAAATTCAATGGCATTTAATGCATTCACGATGTTGACTGCATTATTCTTAAAATATAGCATTCTCTATGTAAAATTTTTATTTTGATGAAAATTTATATAGTTGACATCGTATATTACATGAGAACTATATGTCAAAATGAATGTGCTCCTTAAAAGTCAACCTGCAGAGCTACTTTACCACTTACCACCTGATTGGAATTAACCCAGAACAACACTTTGGCAGCATGCTGGTACAGCGTGAATACAGAAGGAAGACTACTCCAGAGAGATTTTAGATAGTATCTGGCTCCATCTCAAACTTGAAGAAAGAGAGGTAGAGGCAGAGGCTGTCATAGAAAGTGTTTTGTAAACTAGCATGCTGCAAGTGTGTATTAGTACTATAGCAAAGGGCACAAAGGGAAGTTTTGCATCAGGACAAGGCTACCTCAGATGATTATAGAATGAGGAAGCTGATTGTTTTGATCAGGGGTTTTCCTGATATGGTGCCCTCAGAGAAGGGAAGGGTACGGTAGTGTTAACCTGAAGTGACATGGGCTTTGAGTTGCTAGTTGTAAAAGACTGGGTTCCAAAGGAGTCGCCCACTGAGCATGGCCAGGGGTTCTCTGCCTCCAATGCATGATAGGCTTCATTGCTTCCGCCACTTGATTCTGCCTGCAGCTGACTTCTCCCTTCAGGTCCTGGGACACATCCTGTTTCAGATGCTCATTCTGCAGCAAACCAGTCCCAGGTCAGTCTTGCAGAGGCCTCAGGACTTCAGCTCTTCAGTAACTGGGCTCTTGCAGAATCTCTTACAAATGAGTGATTTTAAAATAAAGCCTTGAAGCTACATTTTTGGCCTAGGCTGGTGTCCACTGCAGCCAGCAGTAATCCTTCTCTTTCTTATAGTAGTCTTTAGGATCTCTGTCTGTTTCCCTGTCCGCCCACCCAACCCTCTCTTTAAAGTTGCTACCAACAGCTTGAGCCTTGACTGGGTGTGGAGGGTACTAGGATGTCTCAGCTTCTTCTGAGGTGGCACAGCAACCCTCCCATCACTGTAGAAACTATATGGACACCACACATGTGAGAAAGTTATAAATGTTTGTTTCCTACTGCCTCCTGAAGCTGGTAATTAGAAGTTGGTTTAAACTTGTGCTTTCTGTTTTTATTCCTGAAAGAGGTAAAAACTGTTGCCTGCCCTGCCCCCCATTTCCTTTTTATGCCTGTTTTTAGGCCGAGGACTTAATGAACCCCTTCCTCCAATAAAGCCTCTCTTTCTAGCAAGAAGACTTGGGTGACATTTAGGTGGGACCACAGGTGGCCCTTGTGGTTCATGTCTTTTTCTGAGAAGCCCCAAACTATGAAATGTTCGACTCTGTGGATCTCAGTCTCTCACATCAACTAAGGTTTTTCTAGTTCGTGGTAGATACTTTGGATAGCCAACACATAACCCGTTATAATCCTCTTTACCCTTACACTTTTCACTCTAGAGGACACTGTAGAGACTTCCGTTGAAGCTAATGGTGTCACAGAGACACATTCTGGCTGAAGTCTGTTAGGGATTTTCTGGGAAAGTTCTTGCTTTTCTGATTAAAAAAAAAAAAGTTATCACTGCTGCTTCCTGCCTTGAATGTAGATGTGATGTCTGGTGCTCAGGCAGCCATCTTAAAACCATGAGGCAGTAAACCAGAACACTAAAGATTGGTTGGGGTGGATGTGAATGGAGATATAGTAGTGGAGGTAGCATAAAGACCAGCAGCTAAAAGACAAAAGTCCTAAGGCTTAAAGACTTTCCCAGATATGATCTTTGGCTGAGGTTATTCACACAGGAAATTTTACAAAAAAATATTCCTAACTGATAAACATCTAATAAGATACATGTGGAGATATCGTCCCTATGGGAATAAATTGGGGAGAAGACATAGCACAGAGAAGAACTAAAAAACTCTCATACCCTTACCAAATCTACCAACAGTGAGGGGAATACCTTATTCTGAGTTGAATGTGGTCCTGCAGTTAAAGCATTCTAGAAGAATTTGTTCTTTCTTGGCTGTGGGCATCTGGCGTGAACCAACAGGATCTAGGGTTTCTGAGAGGAAGTCAACCATGTAGGGCAAGTAGTAAGTTAATGTCATTATAGAACAACTATTTGATCAAGTCCATTAATTAGGCTGAAACTATCCTCCTCTTTTGTCTCTGACAGCCTAAACCTTGAGGAGATTATATTTTCAGGAACTCATAAAACTTTGACTCTGTATCTCATAAATACCACCTTTAGACCCAGGCAACCTGTTCTAGCCCATGTCTTAGAAACCCCTGTTTCCTCATCTGGCTGTACCTTCGCCTCAGAGCATGGGCCTGGGTACTCAAGGGATATGCCCACTGGAACCATACTACTCCCCATGTTCTGGACACCCAGCACCCCAGAATTCTTTACCAAATGGTACTGAGCCCACTTCCAAGGCCTGTGTGGGCTTCTTCCCAGGAGCTGTTATTAGGCCTGAGTGGGATGGTCAAGGGGCACCTGTTTGCTTGGGGAGATGAAAGCCCACTTCCAAGGCCTGTGTGGGCTTCTTCCCAGATGTTATTAGGCCTGAGTGGGGTGGTCAAGGGGCACCTGTTTGCTTGGGGAGATGAGAATGTAGTTGAAACTTGGACATGGGGCTTTGTCGTCCACCTATATGTGTAGGAGAACTC